AACTTCCAGGACAACGAACACCTTCAGACCACGTTGCAGCCCCGGCTGATGTCGCACTGGGTGAACCCACATATCGGGAGAACATGGGCGACGGTCGATGGTTGACCAAATCTCAATTTCGCAGGTACACCGTGGCCCCCATGACCCGATGGTTCAAACTGTGGCGACAACCTGACCAATCTCTACTTCGCTGGCAGGTCTTTGTTTCACACCAATGGCGACTACATGGACAAACCCTGCGGATGCGCCCAGACGGCAGACAACTACGTGAACTCAAGAACCTGCGGGAACGATCCGAGCACATTGTGGTGTCTCCTATTGATCACGGTCCTCATTTGGCCTATGGATTCTGCCCCCAACAGTATTTCGACATCTTGACCAAAACTTTTCTGGATCCTGCAGTCTTTTGGCGGCGAGACACCAACCCGATGCAGTTAGCGGAACACATACAGCGAGCCATCAAGCGCCACGTTCCCGCACGCTATCACTGGGCACTTGCACCCAAAGAATCTCTGCCGCACGCATATGTGCTTCCCAAACCTTCAAAGAAATTCTTGAAGGGTCGGCCGATCGTCAGTTATTCCAATACGTGGTGTGCCCCACTTGCGAAATTTCTATCCACTGCAGTGCTACAGATGCTCCAGACGGTCGTACCACCTCAGTTTGTGTCTCCTACCGTCCACTCCATCATCCACGCGTTCATACACGCCTTCCGCAACAACCCAGTTACCATTGAACTTCAATTACTCCAGCAGGATCTCTCTGGTTTCTTCACATCGGTTCCACACGACCGCATCTACCACTCGATTTCGTCCTTGACAGACATGTTCGCTCGCCATCAGCAGATCTCGTTGGATTCTGATATACAGATCACCATGCGGGACCGCAACTCCCTGGGACGCTTATTTCGAGGCCGATATCGCAAAGCCGGTTCACACTCACACTACAAGCCGCTATGCCTCCGTGACTTACCTTTGTTGGTCATGTTCCTATTACGCCACTCGTTCTTCACAGTCGGCACGGAAATCTTGGTACAGCATCGTGGCGCCTCCATGGGTTCGCCCATGGCCCCGTCAATGTGCGGAGCGACCGCGGCACTGTGGGAGGCCAGTTTCCACCAGCTCATCCGCGACCAATTATTGACCTCGCGCTATTTCTGCTCCTCCCGCTATGTGGACAATCGCTGCCTTCTGCGAATTTGAGAAGGAGAATTGGAATCATTGACCGACTCGCCGCGGACCAGTTCCCGTCGACTTCACGATCCCTTCTCCTCATCATCCACCACATCTTCCAGCTGGTTTCAAGAAGTATACCTGCATCCACATTTCTATGGCCTTCCCTTGGAGTTGGAACACGTCCCCGGACAAGAACTGTTGGGCACCATTGTGGACACTGCACAACGCTCCATTCGACTTGTCCTTCCACGCAACAGCATCTCCTTGCGTTCTCCGTGCTCGGTGTCTTCGACGCGCAGGAACACTCAGGGCCTCACCACCCGGATCTATCTCATTTGCCGATTGTCATGGCCCAAAGACGTCATTGCACCCCAGGTACGTGAACTTCTTCAGCTCTACCGTGAACGAGGTTTTTCGGAGCACTCCCTGGAAGATGCCTCTCGGTCTGTACTACGACGATTTGGACTACGTTGGCGACAGGTTAGCGAAACTGCCGGAAAACCAGCGTCCTTGCCGGCCTCGGACCTTGGCCCCGCCTTCCTCTCTCTCTTTTAGGTCAAATAACCGCCAGAGCACCTAATCATGACCGGTTCCTCATCCGACTCCTACCTCCTCGACGACACCTGGCGATCCGACCGCGACATGGACTCGGAGCTGGACATCTCCTCCGCAGGCAATACGGGCCCACCTACAGAAGTTTCGGACTGTGATGGAGACTTCATACCTCACTGCACCCCTCCGCCGTCTTCGTCACTACCACAACGACCCAACAAACGCCACCGACGTCGTTGCCAGAAAACTACGTCCTCCTCCTCCTCCTCTTCTTCCTCTCGACCTTCCAGGACCCAATCGTCGTCATCGACATCGTCATCGACATCCTCGTCTTCACCCTCGCGCCCGACGACGACAACACGGACAGCCGGTCCTCCAACAGGAACCAACGAACCTCACAACATTCCACCGTCCAGTCGACCGAGACGATCGCGGAGGGCACCGTCCACCACCAGATCAGCACCAGCGAAGAGACTCTCTACTACATCGCCGGACCACCGATCAGCATCAGGTGTTGCCCCTCGAATACGAATACCACCACGAGGACACGGTTTCACACTACATCAAGTACGCCGAACCAAGTCGGGCACTACACACTCCACCGTCTCATTCCACGGGGACGCTGCTGAACGACGCAGACAACAATCTTTGCTTCGTGCATGCCCCCACCCAGACCGCCCTAGGCATGCACTCGGACACTCCTTTCTTTTGTAGCTGCTGAGACGGCGGTTAGTCCCTCAGACCTTCGTCGAGCCGCCGCGCCCATCGTGGGCTCGAAATCTGGGCACTCCGATCCTCCCTTCTTCGTCCCGTCCCCGCGGCATTCCTGCCTCGAGCTCCACTCTCGATCAGGGGGGGAAGGACGAAGGGGAGGACCCGCTTCCAAGATGCGGGGCGTGGGGCCAACTGCCCTCCGCCGCCCCTCAGCAGGTTTCCCCGCGAGCGACCTCCGGTCGACTTTGCACCTGAGCGTCAAGGAGCTAGGCGCTAACGACGTGCCACCTCAGAAGGCTGTCGGGAGTGGTGGGTGGGAAGACAGCCGACACGTGACTCCCGGTGGCGGGCTTGACCCAAAATGGCCACGGGAGTCAGCTGCTATCCCTAACCTCCAAGCACTGCAGCACGATTGTTATTCCTTACACGCGTGTAGTACACAACAATCTTTGCTTCGTGCATGCCCGCACCCAGACCGCCCTAGGCATGCACTCGGACACTCCTTTCTTTTGTAGCTGCTGAGACGGCGGTTAGTCCCTCAGACCTTCGTCGAGCCGCCGCGCCCATCGTGGTGGGCTCGAAATCTGGGCACTCCGATCCTCCCTTCTTCGTCCCGTCCCCGGCGGCATTCCTGCCTCGAGCTCCACTCTCGATCAGGGGGGGAAGGACGAAGGGGAGGACCCGCTTCCAAGATGCGGGGCGTGGGGCCAACTGCCCTCCGCCGCCCCTCAGCAGGTTTCCCCGCGAGCGACCTCCGGTCGACTTTGCACCTGAGCGTCAAGGAGCTAGGCGCTAACGACGTGCCTACCTGGGTCACCGCGTCCTAGCACTACAGGAGAGTCGGCCTTACTTTTTCCTGCTTCTGTACAGGCGCGTCCAGGCATCGTGCCCGGAAAGGTTCAAGCCGGAGCCTGCGGGAAGCACTTCGGGCAAAGCCTGTGTCCGCCCGAGCTAAAGCTACCGGCGAGTCCATTCTGGACCCAGTTCCACCCGCACCTCGCCTTCGACGCGGCCGGGTGGTTTAGATCGAGGGCCCGGGGCGCGTGCAGTGTCCCCGTGAGCCCGTTCTTGATCTTCACGATCACGTCCTTTCAGCTTCTGGGCCCTTCCCGCCCTCAGAAGCTCCTCCTCGCCCGGGGGGCCCGCACTGGCCCCTACCAGGCCTCCGCTTCCCCACGACATGGGGCCGTTCCTTAAGGCGGCGGCGATGGTCAGCGACGCCTGGGCCGCGCGAGCGATGGGTGCTCCCCTGAGGTAGCGTCTCATCGCGGCCTCGCTTTTCCACCGGCCTAGTGCCATAACGGCTTCTGCGTCTAGGCCTGCTGCAAACGCGACCACGGCCCCCCGTGACGCGCAGGCTGTGGGTACCAAAGCGGCGCCGTCCTCCCTCATCAAGAGGGTCTTCGCCGAACTGCCCTGCGCACGCTCAGGACGACGCGCTGCTCGAGCTTGGCCCCGGCCCCGTCCACGAAGAGGGGGGCACCGCGGTCTCCGACCCGTCCTCTGGCCGCCAGCTCCCCCAACCGCACAGAGTACTGGTCACGCAGGGTTGCAGCAGGGTCCCTCGCAGATGCACGGTGCCTTCGGGGTCCGTCTTGCTGCGGCGGATCCACACCGCCGGGGTCGGTCGACCCTTCAGCCGCACCCACGCGACGTCGCCCATCGTGAGGGAGGCGATCTCGTCGCATCTTGTCAGGAACCAGACCCCGAACGTGATCAGACGTGGGGTCCCCACCGGGGGTGGGAAGGGGACGGGCTCCCGCTGCTTCGACGCGCCCAGTCCCCGCTTCACCATCCTCCCCACTCCTTTGACCGCCTCCAGCAGGTCCAGGCTTGGCGTACAGTGCCGTGGACCTGTAGCCCTGCACCGCCAGGTAGGCCGACACCGTTCGGAGGGCCTCCACGCCGAGGGAGCCGGCCGATCCTTCTGAGGCGGGGGGTCTTGCTTGAAGGGCTTGGTGCCACATGAGGGGTGACACTCACCTTGTCAGCCCTGGGCGGCATTGGACATCAGTCAGTGGAGAAAATAGCAATGCAAAGGAGGGCTGTGCGGAAATCCACTCGTGGGCACTCTCCAGAATGGATTTTGTAAGCCCACTCAATCCCCGAAGTGTAACTGGCGTGCCGCTTGTCGCAGTCCTTGCTGTGGCGGCTGGGCCCGTAGTCTCTGCAGGGCCCGCAGCAGTAACGGGAGTAAGAGCGGCGGTGCCGGCCGCAGCCGTCGCTCATGCAGTTCCCGAAAGGGGCCCGGTCCGGAGTCTTCTCCAGGGCCCTCTTCACAGAGCCCCGCGCGCCTTCTTCTTTCCCTCGGGCTCTCCTGCGCCAAAGCTGATCCTGACAGCGAACATACAGGAGGTGACGTCAGGTTCAGGGGCGAGACAGTGTTCGCTTTGCTCATGCAGCATAACTCATGACCTCAAGGATGACAGCTTCTTTTTGCTTATTGCAGATCGCACATTCTCACTGCTTGATTGCTTCGACTGTATTGTCATAATTCACCAATTCTTGTTTTCTGAGTGGTCGCTTTCAGCTCGCCAGAGGAATCAGATTATGCACGCGATGAATGGGAATGGGCCTAAGGGAAATTCCAAGGGAAAGTCCAAATCTAAGCGAGCAGATCCGAATGTTACATACAGCAGTGCCTCAAGTATCTCTCCTTTCAATCTTGAGACGGAACCCAGTGGTGCAAATCACTGGGCAGATGATCGTGGGGATTCCGCTTTGGTCCAAGATATCAAAGCAGCCATGCCGATTGAGGCACAATTGCGAAGTATGCCTAAGCTTGTTGCTCATGAGTGGAATGCTCCGGTGGTGCCATATCCTCAGCTTTCCGCCAGCGGGGGAATCAGTCTTGTGCCCAAGAATTGCATTGCCAGTGTTATCAGACAAGTCGGATTTACAGCTCAGGCCACAGCCATTTGCATTACGCAGGCACCTAGCACGTTGGGTTTGGAATCATACCCACACTCACAGGTCGATCTCACCATTCTCGTTCGTGAAGGTCCAGAAGATCGCGAAGTGCGAGTTCAGCGATGGGTGGTTCAACTCGGTTTCACTTCGCATGTGTCGAGAATCGCGGAGGGTCCTAGCATTGAGATTCCACAAACCATGGCGCGAATGGTGTGTAAACAACCCGAGGAATACGGATGGCCAGCACAAGCAAGAGCATCTAACATTACCACTGTTTTGGAAAAGCATGGAATACCTTTGTTGGCCATTGCAGAAGTTCAGATCAGGTCCGACATTACCACGATATTCATGGCTCATGAGAACATGGTTGAGAAAATCCTTCGTATCAGCGGTGCATCGGGCACCTTTTTCAAGGTTCATCACAGCAGTCAAGATGATCAAACTGAGCTTGAGCAGTTGCTTATTTGGTTGCCAGACAGCATTTCTCTACAGGGGGCCCAAAAGATGTTGGAAGGCATGGAGCATTTGGGGTTGGTATGCAAGCGTAAATTTGCTCCACATCGTTTGGGAGTCAGGTTTGCCACCCAGCAAGATTTGCAAGTGTTCTGCAAAAAGCACCGTCTTGAGGACATCACGTCACTGGGTCGATGGAAACTTTATGGTCTTCCTGTATCGGCCGGTTTGCAAGGAGCGTTTGAGCTACTCAAAAAACGGGGTTGGAATGTTCACACCATCGAGCACCACGACAGCAAGAGCCTTTCATTCTTGGCGGCGATGTGCGGTAAGGACGAGCCCCTCCAGTTCAAATCATCCCGTGATCATGCCGTACAAATTCGTTTCAAAGCCATCAATGGGGTTGCGAAAAAGCTTGCGGCGGCCAAAAATGCAGCATCCCAGACTCCCATGGACACAGACGTTCATGATCCTTCCAGGGCCAGTGTGCTTGGCAAACAGCAACATGCTTTTCTCGGTATGCTTACTCCGCGTAAGCCTCAGGATAAGCGTCATCATGAGTCCACGGGTGATACGCCAGACCTTCAGAAGCAGCGCGCCAATCCAGGTGCGCATATCGAGCAAAAGTAGTCCTTTTCTTATTGTTAATGCACCACTTCCTCGCCTCGTTAATCGAAGTTGGGGAGAAGTTCTTCGCAACGGACGTTCTCGTTTCCTTCATGCTTTACATGGTAATATGCCGTGTTCGCCCACCTGCTGGCTTGGATCATTCAATGCGGATGGACTTTCGAGTCCCGGCAGATGGGCCTCAGTCAGGAATTTTGGTTACGACATTCTGTGCCTCCAAGAAACACACTTGGATGCTACAAAACAACAAGTTCTCACCAGTTCAGCGAATTCAACATCTCATTGCATTTGGGGAGCTCCTGTAACGGGCAGTTCCAAATGCGGCGTGGGTATGGTCATCAACCCTACTCGATTTGCCATGGTATCACCGATCAGTTGGGACTCTAATCATTCATGTCATGCTTTTTGGGCATCGGGACGGCTTCAGGCGGTTGTTCTTTACTTACATGATGGTAGTGCTGTGATCTTGTACAACATGTACGGGCCAGCAGGAGCACGTGAAACTGCTTCCGCCAAAAGGACGTTGCGACTTCTACTCCAAGCAGTCACTGAGGACGCCGCGACTCGTTCGTTGCCTTCTATCTTGGTGGGGGATTTCAACGCTGAGGTGGAGGAAAATCAGTACATGCAAACCCTGCTGCAAACATACTGGCATGATGTTGCTGTGGTCGGTAGCGGTGAGACTCGTAACACTTGTAACAAAGGTTCTGGCTCGCGCATTGATCACATCTGGTGCTCGCAAGGTTGTTCCTCCATGATGCTTCATTTTGATCTTCATCCCACTCCTTTCACTCGCAAAGGCCATTGTGTTCTGGAAGTCGCAATGGACATTCCTTATCGCGCAAAGCCGAGACTTACACCTCGAAGATCGTGCTCTTTTGACCACTTGAAGGCTCCAGACGCTTATTGTCATCTGCGCATGCCTCAATCATTCGAGGAAGCTTTACGACATCGTGATGTCGATTCTGCGGCTGCAATCTGGTCAAAACAAGCTGAGCAGGTCTTGCTTTTTCTTCATGAACAACAAGATGGTTCCGAATTAAGATTGGGTCAACCACGGGGCAAAGTACAACTCGACTGCACAAGACAAACCCCCAAAGCTCATCACGAACATGCTGACAATCTACAACTACGAAAACTTTCACAAGCATATCGCAGAGCGTTAGAAATTACCATGGCGACACCGGGCACAAGAACTTCACGCACTTGGAAAAATCTTCAATCAGTCATCGAGGTATGCCCTGAAGCTTGGAAGGGCGAACTTGAACCCCTTCTCCGAGGCGCTCCAAATGCGGAGATTGCTGAGGCCGTGGCCAAGCTCATTCAACGCGTTATTCAACATGTGGAATATCAACAAAAATGGCATCGCTTGAAGCTTTGGAAGCAGCAGATGCGGAACAATGTCAGTGCGTCCTCTTCTTGGCGAAAGAAACAGCAAGCACTCAAGGACAATCCGTATTTACGCGATCACAAACATTATTCTTCTGTTGTTATGAAGGTCGGCAATGCTTTCACCATCGACCCATCTCGACAACTTCGTTCACTAGTACAAGAATGGGACAAAGTGTTCGGTAAACACCGTAAGAACCCTCCTACGACTTGGGCTTTTGTTCAACATTATGGCCCTTTCCTCAAGCGGGAGCCTCATGACCTTGACGAGCTGCAGCAACAGGACATTCTGGAAACGGTGTTATCTTTGAAGCCCAGTGCGGCGGGTTTGGATGGTTGGCGGCCTCAGGATTTAAGACTGCTGGGAAACACATGCCCACAGCTCTTTCAGTACCTGGCACGGCTTATGAACATGTGTGAAAAACTGGCTACTTGGCCTCGCAGCTGGACTGTGGGATATGTGGCAATGTTGCCCAAAAACTTGAACTCGCAAGGACAAGTAGAAAGTGCATATGACATGAGACCAATTACTGTACTAAGCGCATTATACCGCTTATGGAGTCGCACTCGCTGTCGACACATCATGCCGTGGATTCTCCGTATACTACCTCCCGAAGTCTACGCACTACGTCCAGGGCAAGGTGCCGATGATTTAGCAGTTGATGTGAGTTATTTGTTGGAGGTTGCCGAAAAAGATGATCACTGGAGCGCTGGACTGTCATACGACTTTTCCAAATGCTACGATCACATCCTTCCCAACCTTGCCATCGACACTTTAACTTACAGAGGAGCTCCTCTGTCGGTCATACAGGGCTTGCGGGGCTTTTACAAGTCCCACAAAAAGCACTTCAAACTTGGTCAGGCGTTCAGTGAAGCATATACTCCATCCAATGGCATCATACAAGGAGATCCTTTGAGCAACATCCTTTTAGCCAGTCTGATTGCATGCTGGTTGGAACGGTTACAACACGGTCACTTTGGTCAAGCTCGCGCGAAAATTGTGCCCAAGGCCTATGTGGACGATATTTCTGCAACTGTTATTGCCGAGGACCTACGACATTTACGTGCAGGATTGCGCTCCACGCACGAAACCGTGCAAACTTTTTCGACACTCTCTGGTAGTAAGCTCAATCCCGGCAAATGTTTCACGTATGGGGATCCTCATGTTGCCAATCTTCTGCCTGACATACCAAATCACAAAGAAGCATTTCGACTCGTCGGAGGAAGCATTGTTTGTGGCACCGCATCGTCATGGACATCACTTATGCAACAACGCGTGGACGGCTGGTTGGCATCAGTTCGGGCTTGCAGTCTTCTTCCGCTTGGATGGCGAGCCAGGCTTCTCGCACAACAACAATTGATGAATCGGTTAACATGGGGTCAAGGTACTCATGATCTTTATATTCCGCAATCGCGCATTACGACCATGCGAGCCTCGATGACGCGAGCACTTCTTCGCATCAGCTACTACAGCCTCACGCCCATGGTTCTGTACACTGTAGTCGTTATGCCCACTTTGGAACCGCTTTTTGCCATGAACTTTGCCGCTCTACGATCACTTCAGCGATTCTGCTCCAAAGCTCCCCAACGCCAATATATCAACAACAATCTTCATTCTGTCCCCGGACAACAGAAAGGCCCTCTACGTCGTGCCCAGCAACTGTTTTCGGACCCCGTTTACAGACCTGCAGTCCAACAAATTTTACAATTATCCGACAAGGATCGTTCCTGGGAACATAATCTCCGTGAACGTTGGCGTGAACACCATCTGCGACAAATTCCTCACTCACGTCAAGATTTCCAGGGCATTGAGCGGGCGGACAGGACAAAAGCTACAGCTCTTCTTCATGATCTACATCTGCAATCCGATGGCTTGCAGCTCCTTCTTGATCGCGGCATTCCGGGCCCTCACTTTGAAAAAGATCCTAGACCGCGAAGCAAAATCCTCATTTACATCTTGACGGGTGGCCTCATGTGTCCTTCACGCGATGGTCGTCATAGACAGCAACAGTCTGTGCTCTGTCCAGTATGTAAAGTGCCCAACGAAGTTTTACATATTCACTGGAATTGCAAGCGTTACAGCGCTGAAAGGGCTCCAATCCAACATCTGAGGCAGCGCATTTTGCGCAGCCCTCAGTGCTTTCGTTATGCCGCCATTCCCACAACCCGTATGTCTTTCACGCTCAAAGAGATCAAACAGATCCAAGACGTGCTCATTGATATATGGCAAAAACACATCAGGGAGTGGCACGATACGGACATTAACGGTCCAGATCCTCCTGATGATCAAGCTCCTCCACCCCCAACAGACAATACTCAAGGTAATGGATTGCCTTCTGGGAGTCAAACAAGTCCGCCACCTTCGCAGCCATCATCCAGCAACGCGCCAGTGAACCCGCATTCATCCGACCGAGAACAGCGCGGTCATCGGATACGGTATCATGGAGGGGGCGCTTTTTGCGTCAAATGTGGCAAATGCACATCGCGCTTGGAACATCTCAATCTGCGTATTCTCAAAAACAAATGTCCATTTCCGAATCTTCCACCCAGCGCTTGGATGGACACTCCTGGTAAGATCAATGCCAAAGCTCGTTTGGACAAGTTGGAGCGAGATATGAACACCAAGTACAACATCCCAAAACACAGTTTGGTTTGGAACCGAAAGCTTGGAAAGGAGCCAAAAGACGAAGACTCATACGGTAAGCTTTGGTGCCGTTTGTGTGGTCGCACGTTTGCGTGGCGCTACAGACACAACAACCTTCCCAAGACTGTATGTCGACCTCTTGACAACAAGCCTAGCCCACCCGAATGGGTCACAGCTATGACTGCTGCCGAAGTAAGCCAAGACATGACTATGCATGGCCTTTCATTTTCTATCGAGTTTGCACGTGCACGCCAGGGTATTGGATAAGAGACGTCATCCATGAGCAGATGTACGGAAGTTCATCTGTTCAGGCACGTCCCTACTACTTCTTCTTTCCCTCGGGCTTCTTGGGGGGGCCCCTCTTCCTCCGGCTCCTCGTTGTTGTCCTCCTCCCCCCAGTCCGGCTCCTGCCTCCTGCTTTGCCGTTCTGTCCACAAAGGTCACGCGCCCTTCCGGAGTGGGCCCCAGCTCCGGGGGAGGTTCCACAGGCTCCGCCATCCTGGGCATCGCTTTCACCAGGATTGGCGGGGAGGTCGCTGGAGGCACCGCCCCTGCTGACCCTGCCTTCGGCGGCGGCGGGGTCAAAGGACCACCGTGCCCGGCGTGGCGGGCGGGGCCTTTCCCCTTCAGGGACTTGGGTCTGGCGCCCTACGCAGACTTCGCTCTCTTTGTAAATTTCCAGTCGAGGTTTTCCAGGTCCCTCAAGTTTCTCAACCACGTCTTGCAACCCGACGGTACCTTCAGGGCTGTCGAGGTCGCGGGCCCCCCTAACTTCGACTCCTGGCTCACCTCGTGGCATGTGGAAAACGCGCAGTCCACTCTGGACCTCTATAGAAAGACGTTCAGGGACCTGGCCGCGAAGGATAGGTGCCGGGCCGCGCACTTCTGCCGGATTAAGCGCCTTCTCCAGGAGCGCCACGCCCAAGGACTCGCCCCGGACTGCGACGCCGCGAGGCCTTGGGACGCTGTGTTCAGGTACGCGTGCCAAGACAGGGCGTACATGGGACGAGCACGTTCGCGATCCTGCCCTCCGCTTCCTTGCCACCAGAGGGGCCGGCACGAAGAGGCAGATCGGCGACGGGGCAAGCCACGGATCGCACCGGTGACGGGGTGCCCCCCCTCCGGCGCCGACCGGCACCCCCAGAAAAAGGCGCAGGAGACGAAGACCGGCGAAGGAGCAGCCGACACCGCCTACCACCCCACCACCCGCTCACACGAAGCGGGAGGAGGGCGGGAAGGGGGGAGGGAAGGCCCTTAGGAGGACGCACAGGGAAGGTACACCACTGATCGCCAGGGCGCTCAGATCTGCTTCCCGTTCGGCATCGGCAGTGCAAAGGTGTCAGCGCACAAGGACGCGCACACGTGTGCCAGATCTGTTTGGGGAGCCACCCCTACACCAGCTGCCCCAAGAAGGGGCGGAACCCAGACAACTGAGTGGATGAAGCCCCCCCTCCGGAGCCCACCGGAGGAGAAGGGGGCAGATGGCGGGGCAGACGCGGCGGCCCCAACTGTGTTGCCGGAGTCAGCCCCCGGGCAGGGTGGAAGGAAGGACCGGGTTCCTTGCTAGGTTTCTCGAGCTGTTCGCTGGGTACGCGGGCTTGTCGAAGGCAGTCGAGAAAGCGGGAGGTGCGAGGGTCGAGGTGCTAGACCCGGCCGACAAGATCGTTGGCGACAAGGCGTTTGACCTGGGTGACGATGATGAGTACGCCCAGCTGCTCCAGGACCTTAGGGAGAAGCCGGTGGATTGGATGCACATGGCGCCCCCTTGCCGCACGTACCCCAGGGCCTCACGAACAAAGACCCGGACGGAGGAGAAGCCGGCGGGCGCCACGGCAGAGGAGAAAGAAGCGGACCTCCTATAGCCGAGCTGCAGCTCGAGCTAAAAAAGGACTTCTCCATTGAGAATCCCGAGAGCTCCCTGATCTGGAAGCTAAAGCCCTTCAAAAGGTTGCTCAGGCAGCAAAGCGTGAACTTTGTCGTGCTGGACCAGTGCGCTTACGGTGGCCCATTCAGGAAACCCACCGGCCTCCTTTGCAGAGCCCCCTGGATCGCCGATACGGCGTTAAGGTGCGGCGACGTTCAGAGGCACAAGCACACCGCCCTCAAAGGCAAGGTTCACTCCTTCAAGCTGGACAAGGAGGTGTGGCTCACCAGCGAGGCGGCCGAGTACCCCACTGGACTTTGCGAGGCGTGGGCCGATGGGTGGGTCAAGAGCCTCCCCCCCGAAGGGCGGGCCACTGTGACCCCGGGCCCCAGCGAGACGCTGGTCAAGGTGGGCAGGCACGGGAACACCTTGGTGAGAAGCAGCCAGGTTAGAGCCGCCAAGGGGGAGGGATCCCTCCCGGCGGCAGCCAGCCAGCGGCCCACGGAAAAGAGTGAACAATGACAAGGGTTCGAAGAAAGAGGCCCGGGAGCGGGAGAATGCGAGGTGCTTGGGGACCCCCGCCCAAGCTGTCGCCCGCTCGGACAAGTGGAAGGGTTTGGGCGACAAATTCCGCGGAATCTTGACAGTGAAGTCGTGAGCTCGACGCCCGGGCTCGACGAGCTCATGGGCCATTCGTGACTGAAGATGGTTCCGAGGAGGTGGCCCAGGACCTTCAGCAAAAGCTGACTGAGGCTGGCGACCGAGCCGCACACAAAATCAGCGATCTACTGGGAAAGCCCGGGCTGGACCGCGTTGTGGGGCCCACGGGCTGGCGGTACGGTCTCATGGAGGCAATCACGGAGGCCGCCGGAGATCCGGACACGGACGTCGCAGCATGGTTCAGGGACGGCGCCCCTTTGGGAATTTTAAACGTCATCCCGAACCGGGGCGTGTTCCCCGAAGCGGGGTTGTCAGAGGCGCAGCGAGCGTCCCAGGAATACTACGAAGCCCGGGGGGCACCCGAGGGCAGGGAGAACTACCGCTCCTTCGAAGAGTTTGCGGCGGAGTCAGAAGAGGAGCTCCAAAGGCTGGTTCGGGAAGGCCATCTTGAAAAGATCGGGGATTGGTCCGACGTCGTTGCCCGATGGCCGGACGCTATCACCACCCGAATCGCAACTATCGTGAAGGAGCGTCCCGACGGCACCACAAAGACCAGGTTTGTGGTGTAAGAACATGGTCCTTAAGCCCCTCGTTTGGATAAGGGCCTTCTTACGGGGAGAGCGCATGTCCAGAGGACACATCGGGCATGGGACGCCTGGCTGCGCCCGGTGTACTGGCTCCGCACGGACGCTTCAACCACCGGGCTGGGCGGGATCCTCCTCTCAACCGATGGACGGCCCCTCCGTTACTGGGCCGCTACCATCACGGAAGAGGTGGCACAATTTCTGGGATCGGAGAATCCAGCTCCATGACCACCTTCGAGCTCCTCGCACTCTTTGTCGGGCTCAAGGTTTGGGGGCCCCGGCTCTTGGGAAAGCGGCTCGGGGTCCAGATCCAAATGGATAACCAGTCCGCGCTCACTATTGCCACGGCCTTGTCTTCCAAAGGCGACTCCAGCAATCACCTTGCTTCGGAGATCAGCCTTCTACTTGAGACCCTCCAGATCGAGGCCCTGGACCCGCGCCATTGGCGCAACACCATCAACATCGAGGCGGACGCGCTGAGCCGCCTCTCCGAGGGGAAAGTCCTCCCAAGAAGGTTGCAGGGACTTCCCCGGGACGAGGTGGACTGCAGCTTGGACCTCTTCGAGTTACGACGCTGGCCCGTGCCGAGCCCAGGTCAGCAGGTGCCTTTGCTCCCGCCTGTGGCTCCCACACTTCGTTGGTGTTGTGCTTCCCCAGCCCTCCGCCCCTGCGTGCACCTCCGCAGCCGTTTGGGCCCCTAGCATGTTGCTAGTGTGGCTCCTTCTGTGGGCCCTCGGCGGCGAACTGGCCGCCTGGGAACTTTGGGTTCTCGAAGGCCTGGACCTGTCGCTGCTCGCGTTCCTTTGCTGGCGCGGGGCGCGATGCTGTGGAAGATGGTGGGGCTCGCGGCCGCTAGCGTCCACCTGGGGCGAAAGAGGCGTCTACCTTCGGGACGGCACGGTCGCGTGCCGGTGCTGCCTCTACGAGGAAAACCGCAGGGGAGGCGCAGGGCAACTCCCGCCGGTGCAGCTCGACGAGGGGCCAAGGATGACCCCGGAGGACGATCCTCACCTTCATGGCTGATATCTGGTCCGGGGTCGGTTCGGCCTCAGGTCTCACCGGCCCTCCCTTGACCCTTTCCAGATTTCTTTAGAATTCGTCCACATCCATCTGGTCCAGCTTCGGCACCTCCCCGTCGTCACCTTGGTCGAGGACGGTGCTCATCTTGACCTTCCTGGCCCCGTCTCCTACCCCTCCTCCGGCCCCGGCCGGGGCAGGGGGGGCGGCCGCAGCCGGCCCTCCACCGCCGCCCACAGCACCGGCAGGATCGTAGGGGTCTTGATCGGGCAATCCCAACGATAGCCTCGCCGCCCTCCACATCAACCCCAGTTGCGTGGCTTCGAGGATCGTAAAATCCCGCACCGCGGTGGGATCAGCCGCGGTGGGAGAAGGCACGCGCGAGGCCCTAATGGAGGCTACAATCGCAATGGCTGGAATAGAACCCAGCACACGAAGTGAGGGTGCTCCGCCAATGGATCTTTGCAGCACAGCCCAAGCCTCATCTCCAACGCCTGCCAAATCCTTAGCCGCGGCCAAGGTAGTCACGCCGGCTATTTCAGCAGCGGTGAAGGGCCCCGTGACGGGGGGCCCGAGCGCCCCACCGCCAGGTGCACCTCCCCCACCTGCTACTCCTGCCATTCCTGACAAGACAGCCGACACGTGACTCCCGGTGGCGGGCTTGACCCAAAATGGCCACGGGAGTCAGCTGCTATCCCTAACCTCCAAGCACTGCAGCACGATTGTTATTCCTTACACGCGTGTAGTACACAACAATGGCTTCGACAATGGCGTCGGCATTCACCGGCATCACCATATTATCAGGATGTCCAGAATTGTATCCGACACCGCGCCCGCATTATGCTGGACATTATAGCACATGAGCGAGGAGGACCTACCGCAGCTTCAGACAATTCCCGAATACGACGCCGATATGATCTACCGGAAGACCAACTCATTCCCTTGGCGCTCATTTTTCGCGAATGCTCCACTCGACGACGACGTTCTGTTCGTGAACTCCTGACTACCTGACGCACCACCGAGAACCTGCTCTGGAAAACACTGTCCCTTTGCATCGCACTACGTGTCAGAGTGGTGGCCCGCAGCCTTTTGCCGCAGCCCTTTCAGTAAGCACTCCTTCGACTCTTCCCCCCCCCCCCAATGGCTTCATTCTCCGACATCCTCCCGATCCTCGCCTACTTCGAAATGCAGACCATTATACAACTGGACCCCCGTCACTGCCAACGTCCTCATGCTGATGATCGTCACACCACCCGCTCAGCTTTGTCCATTTTGACCGCGCATTGTGGTGACTGCTAGTGGCATCAATACGGCGTTTGGCAACAATTCTTGGTGGCACTACAGGATCACAAGATGAGCGCCCATAATTTCTTCGGGCTTCACCACGACAATACGGTCTTCACGATCCACCATTACCAACCTTCCGTCATCGTATACTGCAATCAACTTTGCTGGCGAGCTCATGTGCTTCTACGTTCTACAGCGGGACTCTGTTTGCGCGTCCGCATCCGGGATCCCACACTAGCACAATGGCGACCTACCTCATCCGGACCTTGGATCACCACCTGCTGGTGCTCTGCGCATTGCCTAACCTTCTCCAAATGGACATCGACGACTTCCCGCCGGAGCTCGCTTCCTTCAGTCATTGCAGCGGACAACCCCTACTGGCAACAAGAACAACAACGCCATGGTTTTCTTCCGGCTCTGAGACGGTGAAGCTCTGTGATACTCAGACTGGGCACTTTTGAGACAAAGAACTTCTTCCGTTCATGCTGACCTTCGTTTTCTTCCACTCTCCGCAGCCATTTCAGTTACTGCTTCGTTAGCCCTCTTCCTTCCTTCTTCTGCCTTCTGTTGCTCATGGCCCCGCAGCTACACGATATTCCATTGGCATGGTGGCTGGACTACCTGGTGGAGATCAGAGTTTGGCAAGTTCTTCAAATGACCACACCCGCCCTACGGATCCCCAGCAATTTCCTCAATCCACGCTTCGTCATTTCGCAACAGCGCTTTACTACCTCGCAGAATCGATTCTACCTCGACACGCTCCATGGACTATGCCAACTCAATCCGTCTTTCCAACGATTGGATTACTATGATCCCGCCATCTGCGGGTACCAGTACAGCCTGTTCATGACGGCGCCACCTCCACGTCTACTTCACGTCCTGCTTCTTGCCAACCGTCGTCTTCATTGCACTGTGCGACAGATGATACTCCACCACCGGTGGCAACCTTGCCTCGGTCTTCTGGCACCCGCAGTCTACGCTCGTCATGTTGATCGACATCAATATCAGCGACACGAGTTGGCAACTCCTCTTCGAGAAGTTCTTCAACGGCGTTCTCTCCACCATTGCCAGATCCTTCAAGTTCATCCGAATGCCCTACCTGCTCTACATGCCCATCGTTTTCGCCTGATGTGGCCATATTAACTTTCACCTCGCCACGGCGGGGTGTGTGTGTGTGACAACCCTGTATCCAAGGGCCTTCCCCTCACGTCCTGCAGCCGTTTTTACCGTTCTACGACGTAGTATATAACGGAGATTGAGTTTCGACTGTACAGCAGGGGGCACAGGCCCATGGTGGTACCTGTGCCAACGAAGCTATCCACCATGGGGGAAGCGGAGTCTGATCAACTCCGTGTACCTGCACAACGAACGTATTTGGTATCTAGCATCCTCGCTGTGCATTGGTTATACTTTATTCGTGATGAAATCTTCTGGATGGCCTGGGGCCAAGCCAAGAACCCCATTCTGAACTCCGTCAGTGCTTGCGTGACATCCTGGCATACAGTGCTTACAGTGCTTGCTTGCGCGGGGATCGAGGTTCAGGCCGCATTGTGGTTTAGGCAAGTTGACAAGTTCAGGCCGAGTTACTTTTTGCTGTCCTTCTTCGACGTTCTTGTCCATGAGCCGACATGTCAAAAAAAAATTCCCAGCATGTGGTCGCCTAAGACCTGGGTGCTGGTTCTGGTTCTTCGCATAAAGAAACCTCACTTGACATTCAGTGTGCGCGTCTGTGTGTGTGTGTGCGTGTCTGTGCGTGTGTCGGTTTTCACTACGCTTTTGGGTTTCAATTTTAAGGTCTGTAGACTACGGAAACCTTCGGCGGGTTCAAACGATTCTCCAGCACGTTGTGGGTTCGGGTCTAGCGGTCAGGGCTAAGGCTAAGGACGTAGGATCAAAAGGTTTGAGACCGCGTGGTTCATAAACTGGTTCCCAATTCCTTATTGGCAACGCGGCTGAGGCCTAAACCCTGCACAATCAAGACTTGACGAATGTTTTGCTGTGATGCATGCCTAGCACAACAGTACCTGGGTGGAAACCCGGAGTCACATAGGGAATAAGCTGCGATTGCGATTGTTCTCACCTGATGTTGCTGCGCTGATAGACAACCTTGACTCCTAAACTAAGCCATGGATCTTGATTTTTACTTGCATGCTTCACCACGTCTTGAGTTCATTCGCGATCAGCGATTGGAGCAATTGAAGACTACATTTCGTTTTGACCACGAACCGGGTGCTAGAATACCCGGCTGGAAACCCGCACTCACATACATAACCCGCTGCGACGTCGGTTGCCTCAATGATGCAGTTCATGCTGCTCCGACAAAGATGCGCAAACCTGTTGAGGACAAAGGAAACACCGGCCCGAAACGCCCCACAGACCGCCCGGAACAGGCGCAATGGAAGCGTTTTGGCCCATGTTCCATTTGTCCTCCCCAACCTAAAACCCACACCTCTCACCCTCCGAACCCTGTCTCAAGGTGGAACCACAACAGTGGAACAAATGATCATATCCACAAACTCAACACAACACAGGAAATGCCGGCCCGAAACGCCCCCAGAGACCGCCCGGAACAGGCGCACTGGCAGCGTTTGGACCGACGTTCCCTTTGTAAAACATAAACATGAGTTCAAACACGAACCTAGAAAGTAGGCATTGATGTGTAGCAAACTGCACCACTAAAGCCAACGCTACCGTGGCCCTGTAGCAATGCAAGATAAGTTATTATTGCGCTAAAGAAGCCTGACCGATGTCCACAGTCTTGCACCCGGTGACATCTGGAAGACGCACTTGTTCAGTGCTTTCCGACCCCCGCTATACCCCTCCCCTCCACTGCGGCGCAGGAACAACTGCTGCCCCCCCCACACCCCACCACTCCCCCTCCTCCACTGCGGCGCTGGAGCAGCCGCTTCCCCCACCCCCCACAGAAGGGTTTTAGAGTTTAGGCATTGCCTTTGCACTTGTTCAATGCTTTTTTCGACGGGCTGCTTGTTTCTTTGCACTTTTTCAGTGCTCCTGGTCATGTCTGTTCGCAATTTTCAGTGCTCCTTGCTTGTTTGCACTTGTTCAGTGCTCCTTGTTTGTTTGCACTTTTCACTGCTCTTTGTTTTGCACTTTTTCAGTGCTCCTGGTTTGTCTGCACTTTTTCACTGCTGTTTGGTTTGCACTTTTCAAAGCTCTCTGGTTGGCACTTTTTCAGTGCTGTGCTGCTGACCAGCAATCCCGACACCCAAAACCCTTGACTCAAAGACCCAGACGGTTGCCTTCAGGTGATACGAGGCTTTTGATGCCCACGTCGAGGATTTCCTCTGCTTTAGATCCTCGGTGAAGTCTTCCATCGACCCTTCTCCCCAAAGCTCTAAACTCCTCAAACCTGCTAGTGGGGCTTCGGGAGTTAGGAGTTACGGGTTCAGGGTTCGAGGGGGGTTCAGGGCCCAGGGTTTGGACACCAAAAGCCCAAAACCTGCCAGTACTTTAAGGGTCCGGTCCTCATAAAACATGGTTCCCAACCTGCCATGCCCCTGAGGGTCCAAAGGACCCAATAATAAGGTACTTAGATTTCGGAGAATAGTTATGTAGCTCAATATTTAGGAGAGTATATGATTGTTGGGTACTCGGACTTGGGGTGCTGTGGGCTTTGGGAGCACACTGAAACCAGCAATCACCTTTGGACAAGAAACCCTACAGTATCAAGTCAAATCCCAAAGCCCTGCATCCTTAAT